TTTTACATGTAGCTGTCCAGTTTTCCCAGCACCACTTATTGAAGAGACTGCCTTTTCTCCATTGTGTACCCTTGCCTCCTCTGTCATAGATTCGTTGAGCATAGGTGCGTGGGTTTACCTCTGGGCTTTCTATCCTGTTCCATTGATCTATATTTCTGTTTTTCTGCTTTCTCTTCTGTTGGGGAGATACCCAGAAGTGGAATTGCTGGATCCTATGTTTGATTTTTCCAGGCAACCTCAATTTTAAGCTGGGAAAGGCAAACCATAAGGAAATGAAATTCTAGTTCACTGCCATCAGAGCAGCAGACAGTAACTCCTCTCCCAGTACTATGTGCTGGTGAGGCCACGGAGCAACGGGAACTCTGATGGGCAGTCATTTCAGCAACCACCGTGGCGAGGGGTTTGGCAATTTCTAGTTCAGCTGAAGTGCAGATGTGCTGTGCACAGGCAGATCCCCTAGCGACGTGCTCACACGTAGGCAGAGAGGCCCAGACAGCTGCACCAAAGGAGGAAGTACCCTGATGGGCAGCCAGGAGACCTGGGGAAAAACACCCACAGATCCAGTCCCGAAGCCGCTGGGAGACGGATCAGGGCCACGTGGTGCACCTAGGGAAGGTTACAGCACGTGCGAGACGGCAGTGCACACTGCTGGTCATCTCCCCCCGCTCCCCCGTAGGAAGGGTCTCGGAACGTGTTGGGGAGTGGACTCCACCCAACTCCAGACGGTGGTTGCCTCTGGGGCGGGAGAGTAGGGTCAGGCCCCTGTGTGATCTGTTAGGCTGTATGAGAAAGGAGAGGCAGAAGTAAAACCACAAGTCAGCGGTTCTGAAGATCCAAGTGAAAGGCAGGAAACGGAAGAAAAGACTAGAAACACATGAAAACGGTTAGAAGGGCCTGCTGCGCTAGCAGGGCGCGGGCTGCAAACAGCAAGCAGGCTTGGGGAGCTTTACTGGGCTGCGGGCGCCAGGCCCCAGAATTCAGCGCTTAGCAGAGAGGCAGCCAGGGCTCCAGGGGCACCTGGCAGCTGAAAACACCGGGAAACCAAGACCCACTTAGAAGGGGAAGAGGCGCTCTCGAATTTCATAGCTATTTGGGGGCTCGCTCGGGAACAGAAATTGCCTAGTTTATGTTTACCCAAAGATTTCTACTCATGGAGGCTTTCGGAGGTGAGAGGGAAATGTTTACCTGTGGGACGTGCCCGATTTTAAGTGCCGAGACACAAAATCTCCTTTGTCCCCCAGGCTGCGATGACACATGCTCCACGGGGTTTGGGCATTTCCTCTCCGCCAGGGAACATGATTGTGAAGGGCTCCAGTCAAGAACAGTTTGGTGAACTGTCCTGTTAACGGTGATGACAGCTGCACTGTTTTGTTTCTGAATGTAACTTTCAACTATTTTATGAGTATTAGTCTCAATAATTTTATAATTAACTTTTTATAATGAAAACTACTTGAAACAGCTATAGGGGATGTTAAGATTTGACAAAACTACCTGATGTATAGACAAGAAACCCAAAAGCTACAAAGAAAAAGACAGACATTTAGACATCCATGACTGGGGAAACCTTCAGCCACGTTCCTTTAAGATGCCCACAAAGGCAAAAGACAAATGAGATTAACAAAACGTACGTATCATCTGTATGACAGATGAATGGTTAATGTTTATAGTGTAAAACAAGCTCCTGCAAACTTTTGGAAGAAAAAGTCCAATAATGAGGGGAGGATATAAACCAACAACCTACAGAAGCATAAATCCGAACTTCCAACCGTTGTGCACAACTGTGCGTGCGTGCGTGCGTGTGGAGGGGCACGAGTTAAATTCACAACGAGGTCTTGCTTTGCCCCCAGTCAGATTGGCACAAAATGGAGAAGCCCCCTGACGCCTTGCCCAGCCTCTCTCATCGCCGTTAGAAACTGAACCATAATGTCAGTGGGAAAGGCAACCCGGGTGCCCCTGATCCTGACCCAGAGGAAGGCGAGCTCCAGGGCGAAGGGGCAGGCACAGGAGGTTGGGGTGAGGGCGGCCGGCATAGACGCCACTGCAGCAGCGCGGGGCCGGGGGCGGCATCTGGGCCCAGCACCGTGAGTGGGAAAGACAGGTGCAGGGGGTTGTGCCCCATGCTGGGGCCACCGCAACCCTGATGGCGCTCTCAGGTGGCTCGTCGTCCCCACCGTGAGCCTGTATACCTGCACGATCAGAGCAAAACCAATGCCACCACTTTCACCGGGAGCAGATCCCCAGGCCACGTGTGGGGAAGTGAGGAAGAGGCCAGGTGGTGCCGCCCCTGTCACTGCTTCCCGGGAGAGGTGGGGCATCACAGCAGAAGGGCCTGGAGGCCGCCGGCCTTTCTTTCGGATGCTCAGTGTTGAAAGCTTCAGCAAAGTTGCACGTGTATAGTTTCAGTTTCTGTGAAATGAGGGCGCTGCGCAGATGGTTTCTGAGATCCCTCCCAGCTTCGGAGCCTCTAAGCCGTTAGGCCAGACGCAGGGGGAGGGCCCGTCTGGTAACCATTGGCTTCTCTGCTTTCTGGGGGGCAAGTTGCAGAGGAAAGAGCAGAGCCCAGAGGGGGCCCGGCCGCCAGCCTCCGTCCTCCGGCATCTCGGACATCGCGGGCACCCTCGCGGCCTGGGGCAGGGCTGAGGCTGGCTGAGGCCCCGGCCCCGGCAGCCAGGACTCACCAGGGCTGCAGGGGACACAGGAAGCTGCGTGGCTAAGGCTGGCCACACTTTGAGAAATGCTGATCAAAAACAGGGGGCAGAGAGAGAAGGTTCCAGGCCTCTGGCTTTGGTTGGATGGGTTCAATATAGGGTCGTCTGATTTAGCAAATCAGCAAAAATCAGCAAAAAACGACAGAACACACAGTGAAACCTGAATTTCAGATAAACAATGAACATTTTTTTAGTATAAGCACATCTCATGAGACACTGGGGACGCACTGGTACTAAAACATTATTTGATGTCCTGCATTTCATCTGACCACCTTGGGCTTCCGGAGGTTTCTGCCCCATCCGAGGTGTCCCTTCCACACGAGTCTCTCCTTTGTGTGGAGTCCACCCCGCCCAGGGTCTCCCCAGGCCCCAGAGTGGAAAAGACCCCCTGCGGTTCCCCACCTTCCCTCCCTCCCCCTGGCACAGTGGTGTTCGTAGTTCTTCATGAAACAGTCCTGAATCACCCTGATCTCAGCGTGACACCTGTTTCCTGTGGGGACCCAGCCTGACACACGAGTGGAATGAAACCCAGAAGGTTCCCAGGGTTATTTATTAAATAGGTATTGGTAAAAATAAAATAAAATAAAATAAAAACAACAAAATAAGTTATGGGTGCTTGCGGCTCAAAGGTATGGAATGAACGAGGCTATGCAAAGCCCCAATTCTCAGGGGATCCACTCTGTCAAGGAAGGAAACAGCAACTAAGAGAGAGGTAGCCAAGCAGGGGGGGAATCAGAGCCCACCCCACATCAGAGCCTGGTCCTCCCCCATTCCTCCACACTGCCACCTCCGTCTCTAACTGAGCCACCCGAGAAATCATGTCTTTCCCCTCCCTCCCTCTGGCCTCCTCGAGGAGATGCCCATAGGCTTCTTCCTCTTCTAGGACACACGAAGCCTTCGAGACAACTGCAGTGGAGCAAAGCTGCTTGCCGAAGCAAATGCTGGCCGTGCTCTTCAAAGCCGGCGGGCCCCGCCGCGGGCCCCAGTCCTCAGGGGAGGGGCAGAGGCAATGATCACTGACAGGATTCTTCAGGTAACAGCCTGGTTGAGACCCGCCACCCACTGGAGATGTGCCCAGAACAGAACATCCTGCCCAGGTACCCGGTTTCAAAAGCACCTTGGTAGTCATGGCAACGATCCACATGCCAACCCTCGAGGCTCCAGGGAGAGGGGCCTCAGGGGACACTGAACAGATGCCTGTGGGCTGCCCGTCCTGAGACGCCATTCGGCAGGGACAGGACATCCTCTCCCTTCTGCCCTTGCCTTTGTCTTCAAAGACCAGACGCGCCTTTCCCGTGACGGGGAATGAAACAGGTGTCTAAGGAACACGTTAACAAGCGGGCAACCCAAAGGCAGAATCCTCAGCATCTCTTGGGCCTCAGTGTACCCCCACCCAGGGGGGAGCTCTCTTGTTCAAACATCATCGTCTGCATGAGAAGCACGCTTTGGGGTTGAAAGATGCCAACTCCATGGCCCTACGCTGGGATGCCATCAGGGGATCATGGTTCCTAAGGACCTGGGTTTCTCCGTGGGTGACAGACACTTGACACTTCAGTAACCCTAGCTGCTGAGGACATCTAAGCTATACCCTGGCTCTGAGAGAAGACCCGGCAAGCAACATTCTGTTGGGGATTCAACTTTTGACATTTGTGGGTGTTGCTCCACAGAGGATCTGAGGTGATGTGACTTCCATGTGACCTGCTGTCAGCTTGGCAGTCGCAGATGTCACAGTGAGTTAGTGCTCTGGACTTCGGATTTCCCCAGCAGTCTGCTAGGCGCGTGTGTTTACTATGACTCAGTCTCCCTGAGGCCAGGTACCTCTGGAGACGCTCATTTGTAACCCCAGCACCTGGCCTGGCACGCCAGCCAGAGGCTACCCTGCCCCACTGTCGCCAGCCCATGCTTGTAGCCCGCATCCCAAAGCAGACAACCATTCTTTGTCCAACCGTGAGTCTGATGGATTTCTTGGGGTCATTTCCCCCCAACATTTTATTTTGAAAAATTTCAAACTACAGAAAAATTACAAGAATAGTAAAATGGAACCCCACATCCAGGCCCTTAGATATTTGCCTTAACCCTTTGAAAGTAAGTTGCAGGCAGCATAACATTTCATAATGTTGAATATTCATACTCAGAGTATTGAAGCCCATAAGTTTGAAGGAGGGGGCAGTCTTCTGTCATCATCCTATCTTGTTGCACCCAGGACTCTGAACACTGATGACAGGATGCCAGCGGAGGGCACATTTTGATGTTAGGGTGGGTCAGCGGCCGGAAGCACCTTCCTTCCACACTTTAACGCATCTTCTCCGCAGGAGGGCATCTTCGGCAGGTGTTTACGTTGGTCATGAACAAGAAGGCAAAGTGGAACTGGAGCACATCGCAGACTTTGGACCAGAAGTGGCCCGTGAGCCGCTGGAAGAGACGCCACTGCGAGAGCTCGTGGTCACACAGCTTGAGGAGCACAAACCCCAGGCAGCAGAGCACGCCCAGAGCCAAGAACTTCCCCGTTGAAGCGCTGCCGTGGCGGCCCTGAGTGCGCAGGGCCTGCCCCACAGCTGCTGTGATGTGTACGCCCAGCGCCACCTCAAACCCACAGGGGTGCAGCAGGACCAGGCTGTAACTGCACAGGGAGAGGCCCTCGACAGCCAGGAACAGCCAGGGCTTCCAGCCCCTGTCCAGGAAGAGGCACCAGGCCACCGGCCATGCAAAGATGGGCAAGGTGAGCCACTGGTCCAGCACGGCGGTGGGGCACGTCTGCATCGTGATGCGCAGCCACTGAACCGGGCCGTAGACCAGGGCCATGCCCGCAAAGACGTCCTTCATGTAGCAAGCCTTCCGTGCTTCTGTGGGGCCTCCCGGGGCGCTGGCTTTGCTCTGCAGCCAGTACATCCCCAGGAGCACGTAGGCCACGTTAACGAGCGAGTTGAAGGGCATGGCCAGGAAGGCAGGGAGGCTGGCGACCGGCGCTTCGGCGTACTGCTCATGGCCCACTGGGACAGAGACACCTGCGAAAACACCGGCGTGGACGGTGGCCGCGCAGAGGCAGCTGACCAGGGCCACGTGCAAGAGGGCCTGCCACGACTCGGGCTTCATCTGGAACCCTATGTGTGACCGGGGTCGGAGAGCTTAAGAGAGCAGACGTCTCCACTGTTATTTCAGAATTCAGATAAACAGTTTTTTTTTTTTTGTTTTTTTTTTTTTGCAAAACACTCCTCGGCCTCCCAGCTGAGCCAGCAGGAAGAATTCCCCGTGATTTCCGACGCAGATGCTGCGGCCTTGCCCCGCGTGGAGGTGGTGGCCCAGAGGAAGGCGAGGGTTCTGCCGATTGGTTGGCACCAGTGGAGGATCGTTCTGCCTTCTTCCTTTGTGGTTACAAAAACAGTGTAGTTAAAGAGTGTGGGTAGAAATAAAACCATCCGAAAAAGAGCCTCCATCTTCCCGATTCTCAGCCTCAGGATCCACCAACAGTTTTCATCAAAAAAAAAAAAAAAAACCCACAGAAATAAAAGTGCAGGAATACCCACAGTCCATTCACCTTCTTATGCATGGCCTCTAGAAGGCTCTAGAACCCTCTTTCACCTAGAGGTTTTGTGCCCCTCTCTCCTGATACCTATGCTGTTGTTCTTTCATCTGTGTGCTATAAAAATCCCGCCCCTTGCCCTAGTTCCCTTCGAGCCACTGCATTTAGAGACTTAAATCTTTCCTAGGTCTGCTGTTAAAACTCAGAATGGGCTTTTCCACCTCAGTGGCATTACAAATGTGGAAGTTTCCAAGCCAGTCCCAAAGCCCTTTGAACCAAATACCCAGTTAAATGAGAAACCATTAGCTGTGGTCCGAGTTCTGGGATCTAAGGCAAGGATGGCGGGGGTGGGTAGGAGGAGGGCGGGGGGAGGACTCCCTTCTGCTTTTAGGTGTGAATCCAGGTGGCACAGGGAGCCATCCCCCATTGGTTCACCCTCCTGCCTGCCCCTGAAGTGCCCCGCCTTTCAAAATCACCTTCTGTCCTTGGCTCACAAGAAAACCTTCCACTTCCTGCAGTCACAGAAGCAGTCCGATAATTTCAAAACAATGTGGACTTTTCATGGACGGTCAACTGCTCTGGGGCCTGCTGCAGTGTAAGCTGGCCTGGTAGCCAAGAGATGTATTAATATCAACAAGAGAAGAGGTTCAATGCCCTGAAAGTGACTCAGAGCGAAGACAGCAATCAGGCAGGCAAGCATGGGGACGAGAGGGTCTGTCCATGTTCAAAGCCCAGCGCCCCCAGCTACGAACCGTGTGATCTTGGGCCTTAACCCTTCCGGGCCTCAGTTTGCATACCTGCAGAATGGGGATGCTACCAGTACCTCCCTGCAGAGTCGTGGTGTGAACTAAATGAGTCCTTAGATATGTAGACCACAGTTTATTTCTGAGGCCCAATGTCCACCTGCCCTCCTGCAGTTCAGGCCCTGAAAGGGCCGGGCAGGGTCTGATTCTGTGCTCGCCCTCCACTGCTCAGCGAAGACCTGCTCAGTTTCGGTTCAAGCCCCAAACCAGCACCCCTGCTCTTTTTCCTCATCCTCTTTGCCATTTCACTTCTCAGACTGGCCGTGGGGCCCACGTGGAAGACCCGGGACGGGGCCCGCTGGGTGTCTTGGTGACCCTTCTGGCCCCCATCCTGCCTTGGGGGCCTGTTGCTAAGGGGACCGGCATTTCCACGAGGGAACTGCAGGCCTTGTCCTGACCGCCACCTCAGCACGCAGCGCTGTCTCACGCCTCCCCGCTGCGGCTTCCGGTTAAGGAGCCTCTAGGCTGGGGGGCTGCCCCTGCCCCGGGCTTCCCACTTCCAGGCTGGCCACCGCTAACGTGGTCTGCACACAGCAGCCCCCAGCATCTCCCTCAAGGGCCGCCCCTGCTTAGCACCCTTCAGTGGCCGGCTCTCCACTCACGCACGATCACGCCCCAACCTCTTGGCCAGACGCCAAAGTGCCATGCTCATGTAGTCCTGCGGGTCCCTCCTGTGCCTGGCCTGCTTACACCCTCAACTCGGCTGTGGCTTCCGCTCTGGCACCGGCACTTCCCCATTCCACTCCTGAGTCTGGCTGGGACACCAGCTGAGGCCCGGCCTCGCATCTCCAGGTCCTTCCCTGGCGCCACCTGGGGCCCGACTCCCTGGTGTGAAGAGCCAGGCCTCCTGGGCCCCACGCGGCCAGCGCTAGCCTGACCCTCTCGTCTGCCAGCCAGCATGGGGGAGAGCTGGGGACCGGAGTCCAACACTGTCAGCTTGATAGACAAGGAGGCCCAGGAAGGGCGTGGAAAGTGACTCCTCTCCGGCTGCTGGGCAGAGGCTACTGAGCCCTTGCGCAAGCTGAAAGCGACGTGTAATCAAACGAACTTCCCAAGTCCACCAGGAAGGCCAGGCTGGGTACCTTATGGCCTAGCTCCTCCGTACCCCTGAGGTGCTGTGACACTTGTTATATGACTCCCAAAGTTCTTCCCAGCTTCCCCCGGCACATGAAGGTCCGAGGGCTCTGCCCTGGTCTGGTGCTGGGGTCTCTGGGGGAAGTCCTGCAAAACGTGACAATCTCCTGGCTAAGGGGTTAAGCCGTGTTCCTTAAACTCTCCTGCTTCCGCAGTCTGTATGCATTGAAGCAGGAGCCACTGTCACGTGTCACAGTGGTGGTTTCTTTGGCCTGTATCATTTATGACAACTGCTTATTGTGCCCGTGACTACCCTGACCACCTTGTTCCCTTTCTGCGGGTAAGGGGACGCCAGTCTGAGGGCTGTACCATGGGACACCAGCAGCAAGAGAGCTCAATCTGGGCCACTTGGATGCCCAAGGAGCCTGGAACTACCATAGTGATTCTTGAACTCTGTGGACAGAATCACTGAATGTGGCTAAGGCGCCTGGGAACCAGCAGCTTGGCTTCCTTATTTTACAGGGGAAGGAGTTGGGGCCAGAGAGGTGACGTGAACGGACAAGGTCACCTAGGGCAGTTGGTGGCACAGAAACACAGATGAGGGCTCTTGTCCTTTGGCTGTGTCACAGGACTCTTTGGCCTTTTCTCAAACAAATGCTTTCAAATGCATAAACTAAAACAGAATTACAACAGAAACTTAATATGTCGAAAGACAGTTATTAAAGTATTTTTGAAAATGTATGATATAGTAATATACGTGCTTCTTTACTAATAGGTTAAATTACAGGATCTATGGGCAGGTTGAATAACTACAGTAATTTCTTTTTAAAAATAAATTTACTTATTTTAGTTATTTATTTTTGGCTGCGTTGGGTCCTATTGCTGCAAGCGGGCTCTCTCCAGCTGTGGTGCGCGGGCCTCCCACCGCAGTGGCCCCTCCCGCCGCGGAGCACGGGCTCCAGGCACGCTGGCTTCAGTAGTTGTGGCATGCAGGCTCAGTAGTTGTGGCTCACGGGCTCTAGAGCACAGGCTCAGTAGCTGTGGTGCACGGGCTTAGCTGCTCTGCGGCATGTGGGATCTTCCCGGACCAGGACTCGAACTCATGTCCCCGGCCTTGGCAGGCAGATTCCCAACCACTGCACCACCAGGGAAGCCCAACTACAGTAATTTCAAAGCAGTTATTCTGTAATAACTTGTAATTTCTTTAATTTCAGGATATCTACAAGAAAATTTATATGATCTCAAATGATCTGTCATTTCCTTTGGTGACACAGTCACCAGGCTAACGCTCTGTGCTTTGCTGCCTACACTTGTAATTGCGGCAAAGGCCAAATTTCGGCTGGAGGTTGGTGAATGTAAAGATCAAATAAAGATGAGAGAAACAGGAAAAATCATCTGTTGTCATTCCAAGAGCCCGGACAGCAGCGCATTACACCCTGCGTCTGGCAGTGAGCATGACAGTGCAGCGACCAGACAGCCTCCTGCAAGATTTGGAACATCGGGGTGATGACAGTACCCACCTCTCAAGGTTGCTGTGAGAGAACTTACAGGATTGGCGCGAAAAGGCCAGCGATCACCATCCGGGTATTTTGCCTCTCGCTTCGCTGGGGGAAATTCAAATCTCGAAAAAGGGCGGAGCCGAAAGGCGGCCGTGCGCCTGCGCGCGGGGCGGGGCGCGGGGCCCTGGGAAGCAGGCGGGGCGGGGTGACGCGAGGTGACGCGGGGCGATGCGGACCGCTCCCGCGCCCGCCCGCTCGCCTCAGGCGCCGCCAGCCTGGCTGCCCGCCCGACAGCAGGAGGGGCGGCGAGCGGCTCGGCGCGCGGCGGCCCCGCTCTTTTTCTCGGGGCGCCGTTGGTCGCGGCGGCGCCCCCGCGTGGGGGCGGGACAGCAGGCCTGGGAGCCTGGGAGGGCTCCGCCCCCGGCGTGGCGCGCCAGGCCGCGTTACCGCTCGCTCCCACCCCGCCTCCGGCTCCCCTGGAGGCGGGCTTCGGGCCACCTTTCCGGAGGCAGCTGGGCGTGCGGAGCAGGAAAACGTCCGCTCCCCGGTCCGAGGCCTGACTCTAATGTCTCCGTCAGCCACCCTCAGCAACCTGTGCCCTGTCCCCACTGCTAGTTAAAGCGATTCCTCTGGCGTGCGTCCCTTCAGCGACCCAGGGGGCAGTCCCCAAGGGGGCGGGGCCAACGGCGTCTGAGGCATTCTCATCCGGGCATTCCCCAGATGCCGCAGCCGCCATCTTTGTTTTGTGCTGAAAGTCGCTACTGACGCCCGCGGACGGCCGGGCGAGGGGAAGTGGCAAGATGGCGGCTCCCAGGGCGGAGGCGTGGAGGCGCGCTTCGGCGGCCCCAGGGCTGGGGACGCCTGTGCCTGACCCGAGCGCGGCCTGACCCCAAGCAAAGCGCGCAGCGGCACCGGCCCCTCGCCGCGAGGCAGCGCGGGGTTCTTTTAAGAAGCCTCGGCCGGGAGGAGAAGCCTGCGAGGGCGGGGTGTGGGGGGAAACAGTGACGTCGCCTGACTCCGCCCCCTCGCCCGACCGCCGCCGCCGCCATGTTTAGTTGTTACTTCTTCACACAAGATGGCGGCTCCCAGGGAGGAGGCATGAGCGCCCTGCCGTTACCGCTCCTCCTGCCGTACAGTTGCCACTTCGGGGCCTAACTCTGCCTCTTTGAAGCGGCTCCTGTGGGAAGGAGTCATAAG